GATTCCCCAGTGGAAGTAGGTCCTTCCCAAAGAGATGGGTTAGTTGCAGCAGCCGTGAAGAAGGTCTTGTAGATGTCCTCTGAACCAAGATTCCATGATGTTGCAGTGTCTGACAAGTTGTGCAAGAAAGGTATAAAATACCGACAATATGAAAGTTAAGACACATGTGCAACATCTGGATATCTTTATTGTAGACGTTTCGCCATCCAGTGGCTTTATCAATACAGATTCTAGGACATAATAGGAAGACAGTAGAACTATATACAAAAGATGAGGTAATCAGTCCCTCGGCCTTGGAGTTAGTGTTCACAGCATCGTGGTGGAGGAGAGTCTGGAGCAAAGGCAAGAAGACTGGCGTTTTTTATAGGCGTCAGTGGATGGGACGGGCAGCAGACGAGGGCAGTCACTGGTAGGCGGGATTCCCCAGTGTCAGACACTGCAACATCATGGAATCTTGGTTCAGAGGACATCTACAAGACCTTCTTCACGGCTGCTGCAACTAACCCATCTCTTTGGGAAGGACTTACTTCCACTGGGGAATCCGCCTACCAGTGACTGCCTCGTCTGCTGCCCGTCCCATCCACTGACGCCTATAAAAAACGCCAGTCTTCTGCCTTTGCTCCAGACTCTCCTCCACCACGATGCTGTGAACACTAACTCCAAGGCCAAGGGACTGATTACCTCATCTTTTGTATATAGTTCTACTGTCTTCCTATTATGTCCTAGAATCTGTATTGATAAAGCCACTGGATGGCGAAACGTCTACAATAAAGATATCCAGATGTTGCACATGTGTCTAAGCTTTCATATTGTCGGTATTTATACCTTCTTGCACAACTTGTCAGACACTGCAACATCATGGAATCTTGGTTCAGAGGACATCTACAAGACCTTCTTCACGGCTGCTGCAACTAACCCATCTCTTTGGGAAGGACCTACTTCCACTGGGGAATCCCGCCTACCAGTGACTGCCCTCGTCTGCTGCCCGTCCCATCCACTGACGCCTATAAAAACGCCAGTCTTCTTGCCTTTGCTCCAGACTCTCCTCCACCACGATGCTGTGAACACTAACTCCAAGGCCAAGGGACTGATTACCTCATCTTTTGTATATAGTTCTACTGTCTTCCTATTATGTCCTAGAATCTGTATTGATAAAGCCACTGGATGGCGAAACGTCTACAATAAAGATATCCAGATGTTGCACATGTGTCTTAACTTTCATATTGTCGGTATTTTATACCTTTCTTGCACAACTTGTCAGACACTGCAACATCATGGAATCTTGGTTCAGAGGACATCTACAAGACCTTCTTCACGGCTGCTGCAACTAACCCATCTCTTTGGGAAGGACCTACTTCCACTGGGGAATCCCGCCTACCAGTGACTGCCCTCGTCTGCTGCCCGTCCCATCCACTGACGCCTATAAAAACGCCAGTCTTCTTGCCTTTGCTCCAGACTCTCCTCCACCACGATGCTGTGAACACTAACTCCAAGGCCGAGGGACTGATTACCTCATCTTTTGTATATAGTTCTACTGTCTTCCTATTATGTCCTAGAATCTATATTGATAAAGCCACTGGATGGCGAAACGTCTACAATAAAGATATCCAGATGTTGCACATGTGTCTTAACTTTCATATTGTCGGTATTTTATACCTTTCTTGCACAACGAGAGTAGAAACATTGGGTGCGTCTCCTTACACCGGTTGTCCATGCTCACCCATCAGTAAAAGCGGGTACCTGGGTGTTAATCGACTGGTGTGGGTCGCATCCTGGGACAAAATTGACTTAATTTGTCCGAAATGCTCTGCATAACAAGGGGCTTTCTATATACTAGTAGTAAGTCATTGATGTCAGCTAGGCCTGTATAACTTGTACATGCACTTGTAGAAATAAAGATATTTATTATTATTATTATTATTATTATTATTATTATTATTATTATTATTATTATTATTATTATAGGTTTTAACCACAATAAAACAGACTAGGTGAATTTAGAGCTACATAAGGGACCGGAAACGTAGAGAATGATGGAGGTGATAGAATATGTCTGGAACACAACCAGAAAGAGAAAGAAGAGGATGAACCAGCAAGATCTGACCTAGTATTTACCTTAAGCAAATCTGACATAGGGGAAACAGAATATAAGAATCCTCTCAGTACGAGCGACCACACAGTACTTTTTTGAAAACCTTGTTAAATAATCTTGAAGAGAAACATAGCATAGAAAGAAAGGGAGAATCCACATTTCGAAGGAATGAACTATACAGACGTGAGCCAATTCCTAAATGAAGTGCTGTGGAAAATAAAATTGGAAGGAAAGACAACAAATGGAATAACGAAGACTGTAACTGGAGAGTGTCGGGAGGCAGAGAAGAAATTATACCCAGGAGCAAAAACAAAAGTAAGACCAGTGTGAGCTTATGATTTACACAAAAGTGCAGAAAAGCCAAAGCTAAAAGTGCTAGCAAATGATAAAATGCAGAAAGCAAAGAACAGAGCTAAACAAGGAAATGAACAAAATATCAGGAAATGACCAGACATTGGTGAGAAGACAGGCTGAGCAACAATTTGAGAATGATAGCATCGAAAGCCAAATATACAATTCAATCAAAGGAAGACAACAGTAAATGGCCAGGAAATAAGAGGAAAGAAGGAAGTTGGATAGATCACAAGAAATGGCCATTAAGTCTGTGAGGAGCTGAACATTCTCAGAGGAAATAGGAACATTACCAAAAGGTAAAAGAGAACGACATCAACGAGTACTAAACACATTGAACACAACAGGAAGATAAATAAAGAATAATAAAATGGTATAAAATACCGACAGGTTGTTAGGTAAGACACATATGCAACAGTTAGGTATCTTTATTTCGAAACGTTTCGCCTACACAGTAGGCTTCTTCAGTCGAGTACAGAAAAGTTGATAGAAGCAGAAGATACTTGAAGACGATGTAATCAGTCCATCACCCTTAAAGTTTTGAGGTGGTCAGTCCCTCAGTCTGGAGAAGAGCATTGTTCCATGGAATGAAACAATATAGAGATGAAGTGACAGGATGGAGCCTTTTATAGCGCCAGGAGGTAATGAACTCACAATTTACAAAGGTAATGAACTCACAATTTACAAAGGTAATGAACTCACAATTTACAAAGGTAATGAACTCACAATTTACAAAGGTAATGAACTCACAATTTACAAAGGTAATGAACTCCAGGTAGGTCTGGTCACAATCATGACAAGTTACAAAGGTATTTACAGATTACAGAGGTACACAATGGGTCCAGGGGCTGGGCCCTCAAAGTTTTGATAGCTGAACTAGGTACAAAGGTAATGAGTTCACAAGTTACAAAGGTAATGAATACTGTAAGAATGGTTACTTACGTTTATACATGGCTACAATCATGAACAAATTATAGTGTAATGAGCAATTCACACTTCCACACCCGGTCACAACTGTAATAAGTTATTGGTGCAAATATTGATTGTTGAGTCACACACACACACACACACACACACACACACACACACACACACACACACACACACACACACACACACACACACACACACACACACACTGACACTGACACACACACAATATAACAGGCCTAGTGTCTAATCGACATGTGCCTAGGACAAAATGGTAACTAACACACACACACACACACACACACACACACACACACACACACACACACACACACAATACAACAGGCCTAGTGTCTAATCGACATGTGCCTAGGACAAAATGGTAACTAACACACACACAACACACACACACACACACACACACACACACACACACACACACACACCACACACACACTTTAGTTTAATATCTTTATTATGCACCCCATACCCATCCTGTGGGCGGTAGTCAAAAGATTACAAAGGTACATAATGGGTCCAGTGACTGGACCCCAAAGTTATGATAGCTGAACTAGTTACAAAGGTAATGAACTCCAGGTAGATCTGGTCACAATCATGGCAAGTTACAGAGGTAATGAATTAGCTTCACTCCTATACATGGTTACAGTCATGAACAAATTACAAAGTAATGAACCACTGATACGTCCACACCTGGTCACAATTGTAATGAGTTATAAATACATATATTAAGTGGATCATACACCCACACTAGCGCGCTCGCGCACACATTCTTATGAGACATACAAGAATTACAGTAGACATACATAGTTATCGATCACTAGCGCATTCAACTTACACACTGAGGTCCGGGGTTCGAATCTCCTCCGGTATGGCTGGAAAACATTAGGAACGTGTTTCCATAAGACACCTGCTGTCCCTGTCTCTGTTCACCCATCAGTAAAATAGGTACCAGGGTGTTAGTCGACTGATGTGGGTCGCATCCTGGGACAAAACTAACCTAATTTGCCCGAAATGTTCAGAATAACAAGTGGCTTTCTATATAGTAGTATGTCACTGATGTCAGCTAGGACTGTATACCTTGTACTTGTAGTAAATAAAGATATTATTATTATTATTATTATTATTATTATTATTATTATTATTATACATGAGTCAAGGACCCCAGTGAAAATAAGTCACTATGACCTTCTTGAGTTATCATGGGTAATATACACATATACTGCTATGTATGATAATTTATGTAACTGTATTTATATGTACCTGTATCTTAATAAACTTAGTTATGATACAGATGAAGACACAGAAAAAAAAAAAGCCACGAATTATCTAATCGATTTCGAGCAAACTAATCATAAGGCTTAAAAACGTATTTCTTTGTTCAATGGCCATGTTTATATTGGTTTCCTGGACACATTAGTATATTAAACACAGCAGTGTATTAATAATTATCTTCCAGAAAAAAAAAGTATCAATCTCGTTTTCTAGTAATGTGAGTTAGAGTACACTTAATACAAGTGACTGATAGTCCACAGGAGTACTTATAAGTATTTAATTAAACTGCTTGAGGGTTTAATATCGTCCTTAAAAATATTATAACCAAGTTAAAGATTAGATACATACTGGGTCCAGGTCCTGAGCCACAACGTTCTCTTAGCTTAACTAGTTGTGGTGGTAATAACACCTTTACCAGAATAATAGACTCGATTGCAGGAATAACGAATTCAGAGTGAAATGGGAGTTAAGTTATCTAAATTTAGTATGTGAGGGAGGGAGGCAGTAGTGAAAGAAGACAAACATGGCGGACAGGAGGAGACGGAGGAAACTTACCTCAGGTGAAGACTCTGATGAGTCAGAAGATGATCCTACTGCCCCTCGCAAGTCACTCATTGTGAGTAAATATCTGGTGATACTCGTATGTGTCCCCCCAGTGTCCCTGGCATGTGTATTAGCCAGGGGGTGGTGATGAAGGTGGGGCCCGGGTGAACACATTTTCCACTTATAATTGAAGAGCTGGGCTTAAAAACCAGAAGTTTTACGTATGTTTCGCAGTTTTGACCAGTTTTCATTGGATATGGCTAGGCCAATATGCTATATGCTGCCCCTGTAGGCTAGACATTACCAAGTAGTCAGTGTGTAGTGCTTAACTTTTTTTTTGACAGTAAAAAAAGAGAAAATGTGCTAGAGAATATACATTATGTTAGCATTTAACAGTGTATATTATTTACTCATGAACTTGAGAAACGAGTTTTTTTTTTAACTTGTCACATACGGAGACATAATTTGTACTCTAGACTGTGAGGATTATGTTTTTATATGAAATGCAAATCATTACTACAACCTTTTCCATATTAGAAAATAATATTTGTTAAACAACGTCTTGTCAAAATTTATATTGGGATATATAGATTTTAATCAGGGACAACTGCTGAAGTTTTATGTAGGAAAGGCAGCTTAGGGTCGACAGTTTGCTTGGGATTGGGGGCCAGGGGATATGTCTGAAAGAATGTTAATTTGTTTCTGGATGGGGGGTGGAAAAGGGGGGCTGGTGGAATTTTGGGGATGTCTTTGGCTCCTCTTAGTGTCACCAATGATTTTAATTTTCAATTTTACCCAAAATTACCAGTATACATCATCAGATATATACAGGTGATGAGATATATGCTGCTTTTGTATGATTTATGTTGGCTGTCTTTTTAGGACTTGGCTTTTGCTTCATTTAATATCCAGTACTTCTAGTTTAGTTTTGTTTACTCCTATATTTTACTAAGACATACAACATGTGGATGTAATTACAAAGGCCTAGGCTATTTCACCAGAAAATGGGTACATAACTGTGAATAACTATTGAACTACATTACCAAATGTACCACGTTCATTTATTTTCATTTTAATTATTTGTATTTAAATATGTACAAACTGATCACTTTCCCATTGCCATACAAATAGTCTTCAACACTCTTAGTTACCCAGCTGTCAGGCATTTGTGATTATAATACAGTGTATATCAGAAATTTGTATTTCAACTTGATAGTTACCAAGTGAATACCTGTACAGTATTATCAATGTAGATATATTAAGTGACATTTAATGATAACTTAACCTAAGATATCAACTTCCTCGAAACGAATTAGACAGTTAATCAGGGTCCTTCTTTATTTTTTCTTATCCACATAATGTAATCATTCTTTACCTCATAAAGTACATTGTCATTTATATTACAATGTACTTTATGACATTTATATGACAATGTATGATCCAACTAGGCTGCTAGTTTTAGAACTGCTTGCCTCAGGGCCAAACTCTACGTTCAGTGAGTTTTTATGATCTTGGCATTACGATTTCATGAGTCATGATTAGGCTAGGTTAAGATATGGTTATGCTGGGGTAAGGTATGGTTAGGCTGGGTTAAGGAGAATAGTAATAATAATCTATTTCTATGACTCACGAAATCGTAATGACATGATTGCAAACAAACCATACCTTGGGTTTTGAGGCTCTCTGACTGCGGGATCAAACCCCACCCGTGGTATGGTTTAATCTATTTCTACAAGTGCATGTACAATGTATACAGACCATAGCTGACTTTAAGGACATACTACTATATAGAAAGCCCCCTTGTTATGTAGAGAATTTTGGGCAAATTAGGTCACTTTTGTTCCCAGGGTGTGACCCACACCAGTCAACTAACACCCAGGTACCTGTTTTACTGATAGGTGAAGAGGGTCAGCAGGTGTCTTTAGGAAGCATGTCCTAATGTTTTCACCCATACTGGGAATCAAACCACAGACCTCAGTGTGTGAGCTGAGTGCACTAGCAATGATGATTTCTTATAAGTGTACCCGATGAGAAATTTTATTCAACCTTATTCCATGATTTTGAGAATTAATGTGATGCTTGCGTTGTAAATGCTGCAGCGAGGAGGTGGCTGGAGGCAGTGGAGATGTCCTGTCTAAGGGCAATGTGTGGCGTAAATATTATGCAGAGAATTTGTAGTGTGGAAATTAGGAGGAGGTGTGGAGTTACTAAAAGTATTGGTCAGAGGACTGAAGAGGGGTTGTTGAGGTGGTTTGGTCATTTAGAGAGAATGGAACAAAGTAGAGTGACTTGGAGAGCGTATAAATTTGTAGGGGAAGGAAGGTGGGTAGGGGTCGCCCTCGGGGGTAAAAGAGGTTTTGTGGGCGAGTGGCTTGGATTTCCAGCAAAAGTGCGTGAGCATGTTTGCTGGAAATCTAAGCCAAGGGGTTTGGGATATTGGCAGTTTGGAGTGACTATTTAACCCATAAACGGTCCAAACGTATATATACGTTTTCTCAACATTTGAAAGTTTGTAAAAAAAGATCTTCTTTTTGTTTTTTTTTACATTTGAAAATGTGTAAAAAACTTTGATCTACTTTTTTTTTTTTGTTATATTTGAAAATATGTAAAAAAACAGATCTACTTTTGTAGCACTACACATGTGAACGTAGATCTGCTTGGACCGTTTACAGGTTAAACTGTCGTATCCGGGCGCCTCTGCAAAAACAGTGATTATGTATGAGTGATGGTGAAAGTGTTGACTGATAATGAAAGTTTTTTTCTTTTTTGGGTTTTTCTTTCTTTTGAGTCACCCTGCCTTGGTGGGAGACAGCCGTTGTGTTAAAAACAAATAAGTTTATTTAGGCACAGGTACACAAGTACAATTATCATACAGTGTAAATTACCTAGGATAACCTAGAAATGTCAAAGTGACTTGTTTCCATTGGGGTCCTCGTCCTCTACCCAGAACCATTTGTGCAGTTCTTCATCATTAAGAGTCTGTTTCCGTAAACTGTTGACAGTAAAGGAAATGTTTAATGCAATTTCTAAATAGCAATATGCGAACCCCTTTATTTTGTAAGCAATTAGTTTCACCAACAAATGTAGTACATTGCAAGCAGAACCTACCGAGACACCACTCTGAAAAGGAAACCTCCTTATGAACACCTTCAGCTTACTGATCACTGCAGCATGAATGTCTATAATCTAGTCTTCAGTAAACACACACTGCTTTCCTTTCATTTTTGTGGATCTGAAACACTCTAGTTTTATTAAATATATTATAAAGGCATTAGACGCTTGAATTGTTTGGAGAAAGTGTTTGCAGTATTTTTCTGTTTATATTTCTCCCTTTTGACTTGATAATCTTTAATCTTAAATGCAGCTTTCAACAATCTTAAGTTAATTTTAAGCCAGCCCGTAATGCTATGCATAGTATAAGTGGCTTTGGCATGCTGCTCTTATCTGTATTTTTTTGTACCTCTGTATGTGTGCTCAAATTATAAATAAATAAATAAATAAATAAAATAAATGAACATTCTTTCTTGAAGTATAAACATTCTTCTAATTGGGGACCACTCGTGTAGAAAAAAAAGTTAAAATATTTGAATTCTCTATGAGTTGCATTTCTTTTTGAACACTGTATTGTAAATAAGATAGTAAAGTAAGTTATCATTTTAGGAAATTCTTTTTTTTTTTACATGCATACTGAGGGGAGCTTGTTATGGTCTGTCAGTTTCTCTGTCAGACATTTGGTTTAGGCACATTAGAACGGCTTTTGTTCACGAGGTTTCCTATTTATCTGGTTAATGTAAAGGAATCAGTCAGTATGCTTTATAAGATAGCTAACTGAAGGAAATGAATGCCAAAATGCAGTGACAAAAAGAGGTGTAGCTTGCAGGTCAAGGTTGAAGCAGGTGGGGTTCCTGGGAACATTGTTGACTATTGTATCTTTAGGTATGTATAACGAAATTCGTAAACAAAAGCTCATAACCCTCTCTTTTTGTAATGTGACAATACATCAACAGTTTTTTAATTCACTCGTGTTCAAGAATAATTCATTTGCCACTTTCACTTGTGATCTAACACAGAATGCTAAGAGATTTTTACATATTTTGCATAATTACATAAGTTTGGGACAGTCATTAATCACCATTGCAGTCCTAATTTAATGGTTTGATGAAATTTTAAGTTAGTCAAATAAACATGCAGGTCATTGTAAAAACTGGCCTTTTTTTTTATACATAAACATTCTGATTGAATATTAACATAGTTTTAAAGTTTTTTTTTTATATTCTTGGTCATATAAATGAAATACTGAGAATGTCTTATGAGTGAGAATTTGAGTGGTGAGAATGACTGAGGAAGTATAAGTGAAAGTGGATCACTAGTGGTGGCTCTCCCTGTTGCCATCTGTCTATTTCTTGATTATTTTTTTAACTTATTTTCCTGAAGGTTGTATAATTTAATTAAAATGATTGCATTATGTAAGAAAATGTTTTACACACGTATTATGGCAACTTCATGAAAGTAATGCTAATACAATAATAATAATAATAGTAGTAAAAATGGTGTGTGTGAGTGGAGAGTGACCCTGGGTGTCATGCTTCATGAGGCAGTGTGCGTGTGAAGGTGCCAGTGTTGGAAGCTGATGTGTGAGATCCTGTGGCAAGCATCTGCTTCAAAGTTTGAAGGGTGAAAATGGTGTTGGAAGCTATTCCAGAGATTGTCCAGCCATCTCCAAATAACCCACTGCAACCCATCAAGGTAGTCAAGGCATATCAGTGTGATAAGATTGTTTTCCTCCATCTGCAGCATTCTAATTAAGTGATTGTATGCAGCAAATATGCTGCCTTAAATATTGCATTTGCATGTGCTAAAGGTTTTGAATTTTGGATTTTTTTTTTCAATTTCAATAAATTTCAGTTTGATGCAGACACTAATTATGTCACTTGGTCAGAGAGAGTATGGCAGGTGTCCCTTATTTTATTCTCTAGGTGCATTCCAGGCCCATGGAACCTATAGTAATCTCAGAAAGGTTATTAATGCTCAATTCTTCAATATAGGAATCTTCATTACATTTTTCAAACTGCA